ACCAAGATTTGACCATGCGTAGCTGCATTCTTTGCCGCGGGCAACTGCAGCCTTAAGGTACTTCTAAGATGTCTTGAACTGTAGAGTACAAAGATTGTAAATGCCAAGCTGGTGCCACTGAACTGCATCATCTGGATCCTCTTCTATTGCCTGTTTTAGTGTGTACAAAGCTTGCTCTTCCACTTCCATCAAATCATTATGTCCAGTTTCAAACGTTGCTGCAATTTCATGCTGAGCCTTGTGAACCATGGCAAGTCCTGCCCATGCTATTCGAAGCTCAATTGTTGCAGAGTCCCCTTCTCTGAGTATTGAAACCATTTCATTCGCAACCCATGAAAGTTGTTCAGTGGGATCTTGAGACCTTTCTGCATCCTTGATACGATGAAGCGCAACAGCATATCGAGTTGACATGCAATTARGCTCCAGYTTTGCTGCCTTCTCCAGRCACTTTCTAGCACTTCTATGATCACCAGCCAAATAGTATGCATTAGCAAGATTCACCCAGATATGTGCWGCCCTAGGATCTGATCTGACTGCAGCTAACAAACACTTTTGCAACATTTGCAGCCGCAACATGAGGCATACAAGCTCCTTCACCAGCGATGACGACCTTGGAGTAGTTGCTCTTATTCTTCTTTGAACTCTCGTCGATGGAATCCTCGACAACACCGGATTCCTGCTTAATCGGAACATTCTGGGTGTTGCTAACCTGCGCTAGGGCAACGACCTGCTGCTCACCGGGCGATTCTGCCATGTCTGGCCGGTGGCTGGTTGTGGTTGCAGCCCCTTCCAGGTTCCTTTCCTTGCTGGAAAAGTACAACTCCATCAAGCGCCTTAATGATGTGGGTACCAGCAGCAGCAACAATAATTTAGTGCAGCAGCAGCAGTAATTTAGTGTTCTCAGTAGTAGGGATTAGTAGGAGTCTTATCTATTCAGTGTTCTTATCTTATTAGTTCAGGCTTATCTTATCTTATCAGTTAGGTAGGATAGATTAAGGGAGTCTTATCTTATCTTATCAGTTCAGTAGGATAGATTAGTAGGGACTCTTCCTAATTAGCAAGGAGTCTTCCTAAAAGTAGGACTCTTATCTCTTGTAATCTCCTATTTAAGGAGCTGATATTATTCAGTAAAGGCATCGGAAATTTCAGTCAAGAAAAGAGTGAGGAGAGTTGGTGATCTCTTGAACAAATCACCATTAAGGCGCCAAAATAGGTTCCTCAAGAAAAGGGAGGAACAAGGGAAAACAGGAGGTTTTCCCCGTGGACCAACCCGTGACGAGATCCTATTCTCGGGCCCATAA